ATTACATATCATAACAAACAGTTCTCATTGAAATTTCATATTAATTGACAATTATAGAGCATTGTTTTTACTAGCATATCATATAGAAAGTTTCTTTAAGCTTTTTTTTTATAAGGAATTAAAATATTTTCATCACTATTTTTCATAATAAAAACCAAAAAAAAAAACAAAATATCTCACTTGATATTCAACATGATACCATGTTGATGCATTAAGTACCGTATTTGTTGCATCGAGTATTGTATCACGAAAATGAAATCTTAATCTTGATTGATAAATTTCAATTGCTGTCCAAAAAAAATCATTTATTGGTGTTATATTACGTCCATATAATAAAATTAAACCATCAATTATTGGTGATCGTATAGCAAAATCAAATGAAAAACGTGTTGGTGCACGATTTGAAAATGTTCTTCCATCAAATACAGCATAACCACCGCCATTTTCATTAAATGTTCTACCAAGCACTTGACAATATGGTCCAAGTGGTGCATATGTTTGTAATGATGTACATGGACAATATGTTAAATTATTAAATGTATATGTAATACATCCAAATTGTGTATTTGTAAAATTTGTTGAATATGTTGAACTAACACAATCAGCTGAATCAACAACATTTATACCAACAAATGATGTTTGATTTGTATCAATTGAATAAGGTAATGGTTGAATAATACGTGTTGATCGACAAATTGTATCTAAAATAAATTAAATCATAATTATAAAAGAAAATACCAAAAATTTTCGTTTTTTTTTACTTGTTGGACAAATATAATTTGTACATGGATTTGGTCCACTTGCATTTGCTATTATATTATAACGTGACAAAAATAATGGAAGATTCATATTTAATGTATTTTCAATATCATTTCTTTTTAATGATGGTACATAAAAAATAATATCAGTTAATGCTTGTTTTTTAGCTTCATTAAATGGTAATGGTGGATAATATAAACTACGATATTGATAAACTGGACGTATAGCAAGTATAATAATTGAATCAGTAGTAACAAGTAAAAATGATCCAAGTGCATTACGAAGTGTATTAAGACGATTACCAAGTGATGGATCAATTAATGTTTCAGGATATTCACCTAAAATAAAATATTGAAA